TACTAGTACCGTCAAACCTGGAATGCCCATCAAACCCCCCAAACCGGTCCCGCCTCTTCCTCCACAAGTACCGTTGCCCGCCAAGCAACCCTCAAAWCCAAAYACATCAATCAAAGTTCCAGCCATCAAGATCCCAAAMATTGACACGTCTATCAAACTCCCGATCAAAATTGGTAATGATGCCAAGACTCCCCCGTCAAAAGGTTTTAACGCCAAGAAAAGCTCACTCAAAAGAAAAGTCASGTCCGCCCGCAAAAATACGCTTGAACAGCTCTCGCCTGAAAGTCCCACTGGTATTACAGACTGCGTGAATGGCAATTTTCTGTATATGATGCTAACTGAGGCTTACTACTTGGCGCCGGATGCAAAGATATATGTAAACCAGGAGAACCTTCCGTTAGAAGCCGACGAAAGTCTTGGAGAATTGCTTATACGAATGCAACTGTTTTTATAAATGCATTTGAAGTTAAAGAGTAACATTTACGTGACCAATGGACAGTGAGGATATACTTACTGTCATACCATAMAAGTTGGAATAGCATGAGATTACAGTCTCCTTCGTTGCCATTTTCTTAGCCTCCTATCCTCGAAAAAGAATCCTTTTAAGGAGACAGGATGCCAAACAAATCTTCAAAGGAGACTAGCATACAAAGACGTCTATAAAGGCCAATTTAGACGGCACAACTTTTGCCTATAACTATCGCATGCGACCTGCTTAAGCCATGGCTGTTAAGCAATTGTTGGAAATCCCTACGGCAGTTGTAGCTATGTCTTGTAATGATGACTTACGCAGGTCGCGATAGTTGTAGGAAAACGTTGTGCCGTCTAAATTGGCCTTAACAAAATCATATTGAAGGGTGGATTCCACTTCAGTTGGAATCGGAATCGTATATAATTAAATGATACGAAAATCGCTTGCCATAAGCGGAAGCACAAGCTTCTAATATTTTAAGTTCCTAATGGCGTCCGTACATGTTGCTTATTATTTTTCAGCCCTAAAATTATTACCGTGTTTGTATGACATTCTCTTCCGCTTATGACTCCGATTCCAACTGCCTTTTCTTGTTTGTTGAACAGCTAAAGTACTCTTTTCTCTTCCGCTTATGACTCCGATTCCGACTGCCTTTTCTTTTTTGATGAACAACTACAGTACTGACAAATACATGTCAGTCAATCGATTCAATCAAATCCAAGATGTAATCTGAATGAGCTTAACATGCGTTTAATCGACAATTTTCTGAGTAATCTTAAAGTAGGTGATTTTATAATTTTGTAAAACTTTTAGAATTTGTAATCAATAAACATTTATTAATTATTTAAATTTATAAAAAAGATAATGAAGAAATCAAATAGAATGCAGTCAACTCTCGCTGTAAGGGACACCCTCGGGACCGTACGTAATTTAGTGTCCGCAGTAGCGAGAGTCCGTAGTACCGAGAGTTTATACTTTCAGTCATTTCTTTGTATTTTATTGTCCGCAATATCAAGGTGTCCGTTGTAGCGGGGTGTCCGTAAGAGTTRACTGTAGATATTTAGAGCTACTTGGGTTTTTCTGTCGATGTTTTTTCGTTACTCAGCTGTTGAAAAAGGAAAAAACATGGATGATTAAATGTATGTGAATTAAAGAGACGAGAAAGGATGAGAGAATTGATGAAAAAATATGTCGATCCATCATGTACGGCAGAGGAAATCGGCTCTTGTTTACCAAGGACGCGATGGAGCGTATTTGTGTATTTAGAGACAACATGGCGTCACGTGTCAATGTAGTGCGTYACGGTTAAGTTGTTGTGTATCCAAAATTGGTAACAGGTTCTGGGTGGTTAGTTGTGCTGAACTGATAAACAGCATGATYTTATTATAATGACATGAAGACTTGTCACGTAGCACGTTAATTAACTCATCCTTCTCTCTACCCCTCTCGCAATGTTTAAAACGTTATAASTAAAAACTATCAGTATGCCTGTCTGGTTGTTCCGATCTTTTGAGAAGCAATCTTGATCATCARTTATCTTTATATCTTTATGCAAGCGTTCAGTCAGCGTCTTTCATGCAACTGTGTCTGGTGGTGTCTATTTCATCTTTTGGCCGAAGAAGTTCGCTACTGCAACTGAACCTTAAAYCAACACGGTCAAGTGCCTTGAGCTATGCATTTCTTTTTCGTCTTTTTCTGGATAAATATATATATATATATATACCTTCCACGCGCTTATGACCACACGCGCACGAAATACGTGTGTGAGCTGGTGGTCTGTAGCGTTTTCTTTTCCTTTTTCTTTTTGATTCTATGTTGTTGTTTTTTTAGTTCATTTCCTTTTTCCACCACTTTCCCAACCTCTCAATTTCATCGCGTTCAAAATTCTTATTAGTTCGCCTGATTTCTCGTTAACGTTCCAGTGCTTCCATTATCAGCTATACAGAGCTAATATCAAGGTCCTCGAGATACTCTTCTTGGTTATAACTGTACGTTCAGGTCGTGTGCATATGATGTTCAGCAAGAGGTCATCCTTTGTCCTGAGTCTTCACGCTTGCTTGGATTAAAGTGCTGCACTTAGCATGGTGTAAGTCAACCGACTCGACATATTAGATAAACGCATAACTGCTATATTTCTTCTGACCCCACTGGTAAAGATACAATAATGATATAGAAAGTTAGTACAGGTACTAAAAACCAGAAAAACGAAGGCAATAATCATTCATAGAACGTACTCGTGCCTCTGTTACGCACCTGTAAGGRAATCAGTCARTTTAYGGATCTTTGTTWGTTGTAYGRCAGTCCATGAMAATTRTGTATGTAACCCAKTTCTGAAAATAAGAAATAAAGCTTGACAGCACATCTCACTTCGAAGGGATGGCCGATGATATACAACTAGTAATGTGATTGATGTCGATAACTGACGTGAATCTTATGACGATGATGCTTGAATACTGATGAGAATAATATTATTGTTAATATTAATGCTAATATTATTGTTAATATTAATGCTAATATTATTGTTAATATTAATGCTAATATTATTGTTAATATTAATGCTAATATTATTGTTAATATTAATGCCAGCCATGTAACAACAACAAAGTTAATTATGATATAGTAATATTTTGATATTAATGAATATTGTAAATGATGATGATTAATGGTGACAATCATCGTCATCATATGAAGGTATCTTGAACTTTCAAACTTGTAATCATTATTGTTACTGGGTAAATAAAGGAGGGATGCCATTTGTGTCGATCTAATTGGTCTGACGAGAATCAGCTCCAACTAATCTAACTGTCTACGCTTCATTCAAGATTTGGTCATTTTACAAACAGGCCATGTGAGAGGCCACTTGGAGGTCGGGTTAACTCTAGTAAAGAACGGTACAATTTTTACATGGGATTTTTACATTGGAACAGCGAGTAGTTACTCGCTTCATATCATTATATACACATTCTGGCTGCACATGAACTCCCGCTTCATCTGAAATTTGAACTGTCACAGTTTGCTTAATGTCTGGTTTGGGTAAATCAAGTTTAAATGTGCACCGCCCGCACGTCAGTTGCTGCGTCCGCTTAAATATGAAATATAAGTCAGCCCGCCTATTATCAAGGAAAACGAGGTCAAAAGAGACAAATTTACATGGTTCTTGTTCATCAATTGTCTTTTTCAGCACGAAATTATAAGGTCAACGTTTCCGGCATTCAGTTCGGCTGCAAGAGCACGTGCTGGCGAATTTATTGTCACGTGTGCAAGTCCTGACTCGATGGCAATCCATATGTTTATAATCAAAGTGAAGCTGCAAGTCAGACGAGCACGTTTTGCGCGGCAAGATTATTTTACCGCTTTGCTTTTCATTCACCTACATACTATCCGCTTTATGTAAGTAGATTAAGTTATTATTCGGTAATTTAGCGGAATATTTCTACCGCTTAGATGTCAGCCTAACGATATACTCAGAAAGACTTAATTATAGTTGATATTAATCCCTGACATGCTACCTCGAAGTGACATGTAGTTTCAGTAATGCAATKMCGGCTTCCCCCTGAMCGCAACTAMCTTGGACAGACGACTGTCGTTAGAAACTCTGTTGCAGACGTCTTGGGCGAACTTCATAGGACGTCTGCAACGGAGGTTGATAAATATGTACATAGAGTATGTACAGCTTTGTTTACATGGATGTCGCCCTTTCAGTGTGCGTTTCCTTCTCTTTTGTTRCWTTGTTTATTTGTTGTTTTTCTTTGTCTAGTTGTTTGTCTAACTTGTTTAACTTAATGAGTGAAGTTTTGGTTTATTGTTTACTATGTTTTTCTTGTTTGATTTTTAGTGGATTTATTTTCTTTTTTATTCATATCGTTTGTTGTTGTTTAAGCTAATCTGTAAGTGCACGTCTAATACCCTGCTGACATTAAACCGCATATATTCAATGACCATAAACAACATTAATAATTGTTTTTCTTCAGCGTGGGAAAGTTTAGAAGCTGTTAATGTTTTGCTCTATCATGCAGTGGGCTCTTGGTGTGTGTGCATGTTTATTGCACGTGATCTTATAGCCGTTTAGTCCGTGTACAGACAGACTTTACAACTTTACCTCTGTTACCTATTCACCTCATACTTGTCGTACCAAAAAAAGCTTGATACATGTAGTAACTTGATCGCTGAATGGCTTTAAGTCTAGAGGCTATTAGTTTTCACAATTTCTAGAGTAAGACCGATGTGACTCTAGACAATATGAATGAAAAAGGTCCGTCACTTTTAAGATTTGGACTTTTTAGCCGCTATAGCAACCGGACAYGGGTGGGCGGCCTTGATGAGACAGTTGTTAACCTCYCCAAGTAAACACTTGGTAACGAACCGCTAAAAGTGTCTATCTAGAAAATGCTTTAAGAAATGTTTTAAGAGCTTTTATGAAATAATATACACTATTAACATTTAAGAAAAATTCTTTATTAGTTGTGAAGTACGCGTGTCGCAATCTGGGCGTTACCTTCTAGTTTATGGAATTATATATTATGAAATCCAAACTAAATGCCTGCATTCATATTGATTACTTTGAATTGGGCAATACTCTTGCTTGATGAATAACGCAAACACGGTACGTAATGACGCTATTCCCACAGGTCTGTCCGCGGTCGTTTCCAAAGACTCGTAAATTGGATGATACTTGGAAAACATCCAATGTCTCTCCTACGCTAATCTTTGCGTTAACAGATTCACTCTCTGTTTTAAGGCACGAATTTCAGTGTCAGTAAAAGTAGTATTTGGGGAAGGGTATTAACACATACCCTGGCCTGCCTAGTAGACTTTATTGCTGTACCAATAGGGAACGAAAGCCAACCAATTGTACCCATTGGTAACAACACTGAATACTATTCGGCATAATAAAAACATTCTGAGAAAATCAGATTAGATTCTTAAGGAAAACGATGTACAAACACTGATAGGTAGTCAAAAAGGCAATATAGAGAACATACTGGTACAGTGTACTATCCGCATCGCCCATGGCACGTTGTTGTTTTTCCACAATATCAAGTAGGCTTGTAGTTCACGGATTTTCAGTATTGAAACGGTAAAATTAAGAAATTATAGACTTAAGGTCATTCGTAGTAAAACTGAGCTGGTTAGTGATTGTGAAATTGTCGAATAATCTAGCTAAAGGTTAACGGTTAAAAAAGATTATGCGGTGGGCGAGCTATCAGGCTCATGTACATCAGTACCTGATTCATTGGTTGTCAACTGATTGAAACGGAACCCCATTTAATACAACACTTGACAACATGCACGATAATTCGCGCACGAATCATGATGTTTAGTATTTGAGCATGAGAGTGTAGATAGTAAAATAAAGCCAACACTGGAGTCTGTTTGACAATTACGCCAAGAGGTGGATTGAACCGCCGGGGTTTTCGTAGTTCAACTTGTAGGTCACGAGACCGACCTTGTGCCAAACTATAGGACAAAATTTGAAAAAAATACATTTTTCTCAACTACATTTACCAGGTTTTTTTGCCTTTCTCGATTTGACCATAATCCGAATAATACATAGTTTGGTGGACACTAAAATACTAGATTTCAGACCAGGATTCTGTTCATATAATCAGCTTCACACTCATTGTCTTATTATAACAGTAGTGATATTATATCAAAGACGTTTGTTTCGTGAATGATTATAAAGTGCAATGAAATTCAACCTTGCAGTAATGGCAACGGGAAATGATAACCAATTTGAACAGCACGCGGTTTCTGATAACAGTCTGTGGTGCTTAAAACAGATTAGCAACGGTATCGATACGTAGCGCAATTTGAACCACTTTGCGGTGGGGTCTTTTTTTCATGGAACTATTTTAGATGTAAAGTTTACAACATCAGCCATTATTGTTTTCCCGCGGGACGCTTTGTTAAATATCGACTTAAGATGAATTATACCGAAAGCTATCCTAAATATTTGTATTTAGAAAACTTTTCGATTTGAATGCGGAACTTTGAGCGGTCTTTGTGTTGACTGTTCTGCTTCGATCAGGTTTGTTGACTTTGCAAAATCCGTATCTAAATATCTTTGACTTCAATTTTTTTCTTGATTCTTCGGGTACATTCAACTCTGACTTGCAGGATTGTGCTTATGTATTAAAAGGAATATTATAAAAATATCCCAAATGCATCTGGCTGGAAATATCACGTGATTTGTACGAAAGATGCAATACGTTCTAGCCAACTTTGCAATTTTTTGTTGTTGTTTTGTTTTGTTTTGTTTTGTTTATTTGAGTATTGCAGTGGTTAATAGAGAACTGTTTGTATTTTTCAAACAGAATTTCAGTCACTAAATCTCTGATGCTGGTCCTCTATAGTTGTTGCTGACAAGAGCCTGTCAAAAAGGTGTCGGGATTGACTTACGATAAATGATCGTGTCACAAAGGTCAAAGTACAAGTACAAATCTCACAAAAAAACCCACTGATATGGGAAGTATAATATCAGATTTCTATAAATACATCACGAACAAAAGTGATTGTTAGGCAAAAAAAATTATTGTCTAACGAACAAAAAGTCCTTCCGGTATAGAGTGACATGGTTCAGTGAGCTTATACTACAAAGACAGTTGATGTGTCAAGCTTCATCTTTCATCTTTTTAGATAACTGATTTTATCCTGAAGTCATATGTATCTCATTTAACCCGACAACTTCATGATATCGTGGCGTATCTCTTGTCCAGTGTGGTCGATTGTCTCCTGTGATAAACTAACAAAACATTCTGCAGAAGTTTGTAGAAAATTCAAGTAGTTTTACAGGCTGCAAGATCACTTCTACAATWTTTTCTTAATCCAAYTTTCTTTTMGTTTTCATTGCTTCTTTAGTTTTCGTTTAATTTCCTCTTCCACTTTTCTTCCTCAGTACTTACGATGTCAGTCATGAGTCCATTCTCCCTTGTCCCAACTCCACACTCCCAAGCAAACTTTATTTTCTCAATGTTTCTGCAAATAAACTGAAGTATAATTATTTAGTATTTCTTGCAAAGTAACTACCTACAAAACGGCGTATGCACAATATCACCAACGTCTACACCAAAATCTTCAATTGTTTTGTTTGGGCGCAGTTTCCGCCGACTTGCAGCAGTTAATCCTGGTACAAAACAACTTTTGTATTTTGTAGAGCTGTCTTTTCAAAATCAAAAGCGCGGTTTGGAAACTTTTGTCTTGTTGTCTAATAAGCTAACTAATTATTTTTAATCCAGTCGGATTGTGTGAGTATAAATGACATTGTACTACTAATAATATCGAATTTCTAGCTGTGCTAGTGTTGCGTTACCGAAGCGCAAATCACACCAACTTCGAGCGGCGTTTCATCCACGTATTTACACTCTACTGCCGTCGAGTCTGAGGACAGATAAACAGATCTTGCTAGACATTGATTTTCCAACAACAGTTAAAAACATCAATGTGAGTCATTGATCCCACGCTTAGAGGAGATGTTGTGACGTACGAGTCCAAAATAAACAGAAGACAATCAAGCCGGTGATTAGTCATGATTAACGAATCAACGCTCGCTTGCTGATTGGTTCCCGCTATTGTATCCATGGCAAGGAACCTCGCGAGACGTGGATGACGTCACAGCCAAGCCCGTGTAAATTTGAGCGCTACGCTAGGGTTATAAAAATGTGTGAAAAATAATCTCTGCTCCCATATCAATAATTGCCTATCACAGAGTGCGGGGAGGAACTGTGATTCCACCAAACATGACAATGGAACGAAATAGTAATCAAAACTGCTATCTGAACGTTCGAACCGACTCGGAGAATGATCTTGAAGCGTTATTCAACGTAGTTCAGTCAGCGAGTACTACGATCGCAAACGAGCCTTCTTCGAATTCGCTGCCGATGAAGCTGCGTAAATTGCCTCCTTCGTTCTTCAAACAACCTAAAGGACTTGACTCAAATAAACTAAGCCCAGAGGACAATACTGGCTTGAAAATCTCACATTCCCGAGCACACAGTTCGCCGGCTTCGTTGCCAATTCCTACGAGTTCAGCCGGGATGTATTCGATACAACCACCATCACACACCAGAACTCAGTCATACGACGGAACTGCTTTTGAAGAATCACAGCTCCCTCCAGGCTGGGAGATGCGAACTTCACCATCAGGACAGCCTTATTTCATGGAGTAAGTAGAATGACTTCTTGATCTATGTTCGTTTGACTCTTGTAACCTGTAGTCACTTAGTAATTACAACTCTTCAAAACGAAAACATCAAAACTAATAAAAGCGCAATGTTGCAAATTGCCGTTTGAATTGCACGTGATTTTATTCCCTTGTTATGTTTGAACATATTAGCACGCTGTAGCAAATGATTCTCTGCCATATAGTAACCGTTACAAGTAGTAAAAGCAGTGTTTTGAATTCACACGAACCTGTTGCTTTCTCTACGTGTACAATACAATATGGCGGATGCTTGATCTGTTGTGTTGAAGTGGTTACGGGTAGTCTAAATGCGAACATAAAACAACTTACATGATCGTTAATTCTATGTTGATTGTTGTTTTTGTAGTCACATTCAGCAAATTACAACCTGGGTTGATCCACGTAAGACCCAATCGACTAATAATTTGACTAGCTCGAATCCTTTGCCTGATGGATGGGAGCAAGCGATTACACCAGAAGGAGAAATATACTACATAAACCACCTCACACGTACGACTAGTTGGGTCGATCCCAGAATAGCAATGGCACCTTGTAGGACAAATCCACAACAACACCCACCTCAACAAGGACGCCGACCACCACAACAGCACAAAGCAATGCTGGAGCGGGTTCAATTGGAGCAGGAACAACTCAAGAAGCGTCAACAAGAGTTGCAGAAGCAAGAGATTTTGCTCAAACATGGGTTACTGGAGAACGGCGGTAGTAAATCAATGTTGGGTAATCTCGTTCGCGAAGCAGGGCTCGCACAGCTCGCTCCTCAGCCCGATACAACAACACCCAATGGACACATTCGCGATGAATCGTTTGATTCTGGCCTTGGAATGAACACAGGGTATAGCAATACTTATAACAGTGACATCGACCTAAACACAGGCAGCGATTCGCAAATGTTCGATGCAAATTACAACTCCAAGGACACTTCTTCTCGCAACTCGAGTCGTCTCCCGGATTTCTTCGACAATTTGCCTGGTACGAATGTTGATTTTGGGACAATTGAAGGCGAATCGACGCCATCCGCAATGGATACCGATGACTTAGGAGTAGGGCTCGACCTTCCTACAGACATGTTGAACGATGTAGAATCCGTTCTTACTCCCAATCTTTCGAAAATGACGGATCCTAATTTCTTAACCTGGCTGTAACTAAACCTAAAGGCATTTATTTTTGTATTAATGTAAATCGGCTATTTTTATAAGTGTAAGCATAATATGGGGACTAACTGCTACTAATCAAATTAGGCTCGAAGGTACAGATAGAACATCGAGTTTTTTTAATAATTACAAAGCTAAAGTAGGTTCGTAGTTCCTAATCAAGGAAAATTTATTACCACACAACTCTGTTTCGCAGCGAAACTCCAAGGTTGACTCGAGAATTGTAGAGTCATTATATCGAGATTATATAGTCATGATTTAGATGTATTTAGCAAGCGAGAAAAAGTAGAAACATATAGGTTTAGTGAATTTGTACATTGTGGAAATACTGTCTATGAATCAGAGTTTTGGCTTCATATCGGGTGGCAAGTGAAGTTGTTTTGAGCCAAGTGAACCTAATCTGCGCCAAAGCTCCTCCTACTGGGACGCTAGAGGGCATTTTACAGTGATGGAAGTATTTCCAAATGTTTATATATTGTTTATTTGCCATTAATACTAAATAACTCTCACTCGAAACCTAACTTTGAGGATATTTTCATAACTTGGAATTTTATAGTTTCAATCGGAGCTTTTTTGTAGTCTTTGTTGACGAACAGATATTGGCTCACGGCCGACCAGCCTTCGTTCAACTTGAACGCGTCGTATTGTGCAGTTCTGATAATACAACACGATTATTTGATTCAAAGAAATACAATTTCGCCGAATAATAGATGTATGCTAGCCAACTAATCCTACTAACAAACCCGAGGGTTACAAAACATCGTAAATCTGTAAATATGACGCTTTTTCAGAAGGAAAATTGCAGTGTAACATATGCATCTATATTTTTTTAACAAAAAAATAACAAAAAGTACTTTTATATTTTTAGGGTAAATATAGTGTTAAACCCACAGAATTTTTTTCATAATGAATCTGTGTGGTTGTATTTTTATACTTTTTGTCACAATAAACTTAATTTAGTGAAATTCTAGTGTTTCAATTGATTGTTATTCTACTCCAAAGGTCCCGACCACACTGTGCCTCTTTCAGTGCTTGTCTGGCTTCGATGATTACCTTCTGTGTATGACGTCACCATGAGACACACGACGTCATATACCAACTAGAACTTCGTGTACTTTTCGAGAACCGCGAAAAAAAAATTATTTGACACTGGCTGTCATTGTTTTGATTGATTTGCAATGGTCTACGTTGTTTCCTTCCGTTGTGTCACTAGCAGGACGATCGAATCAATAGACATTTCTGACGTCGTTCTACAAACAGAATCATCCTTACACTTATTCTTCTTCGTGTACTTATTTAGCCTTGTCATGCGAGTGAGCTGTCAAGCAAGCGTTGGAAAAAAATTCACAAAGGAATGCTTTCATACAGAATTCATAATTACTTGGCGTCGCTTTTTGTAAGTTGGTTTTTCGGACTTTTTGTGCCCGCCACTTAACAATGACCAGCCTATTTACTCTAGCTTTTTAAGAACACTTTTGAAGTTGCCTCTAAGAGCTTCATTTACACATCCTTACTAATTCCCAAGCCGCTCTCCAGGCCAGTTTCTGAAGCCTTGTGATCTTATAATGTGAATAGTTTATGCTCTGCTGAAAGATCTCCCACTGGCAATCATAACAAATTCCCGTTATAATATGAGTACGTTTGTGAACCGGTTGGCCGTCATGTTTGCAATCTATTTTGACTTGTTTCAAGCGATCAAAACTTCAAAGCACTATTTCAAAATTTTAATGTAGGATTTTATCATTAAATTTATTCCATTTCATAGCGTGATGTATCAATGATGGCAGACCGCTCACTGGGCTAATCAGCAAAAACTGTCTTAAATGAAAAAAAGGTGTGGTGAAGTTAAACAGCGAAACAAAGGATTTTCATAATGACAATTTAATCCCTTGGAAGAAATATCTGATTCATGTTCCTGTACGGGAGCTCTGTGCTTGTATGACACTTCTGATAATTACAATGGAATTGCGTTATGTTTTGCTTGGTTGTTAGATTACTTTTATCATACAGCGAAATTCACCGAAGTCAATAACCTGCGAACATTCAGTCTATAGTCTGTGAACTTTGCCGACGACTTGTTCAGTGCTGGAAGCGAAAAAGCCGAACAGAGATTCGAACGCGTGCCTTAAGTAATTTTATATTCTTAARTGGTTCTTCATTGTTTTTCTTTGCTTATAAAAGTAAACGTTAAACAAATCAAAAGTACATTTTTAGAACACAAAGAAATATAGAGCTCAACTAAGAAAACAGGAGAGTATAACCATGGCACAGTTCGCAATCGCTGATCAAAGGAGATCTCAAAAGAAACTAGAATTAAATTAGCGACAGCATCATCATTTTGTCCATACTTCTTGGTGTCATATTCTAGGGCTCTAAATTCTAATCACCGAGATCTTAATTGTTATTGCACACGAGCGTGAGTAATCATTATAAAGAAACGCATTATATTTTCCAGTGATGTTGTCTTTTAAGATTATTAAAGCATTTCATACTATCATTCGATTTTCTATTTTTACATTTTTCTCTTGAGACAAGGCACGACCCGGGGACACTGCTAAAAGGCGGTGCCAAAGCATAGTCATACACATCGGCAACTTATGAATACAATAATGTGATATGTAACAAAAAGTATCATTTTCAAGTAGAAAGTGAATGAAGTCATGTCTTACTGACACGGGACATTTCGTGACGTAATTTCGTGTTTTTCATGTCGTTGGTGGTGTCTGTGCCTTCGTGTGTATGTAAAACACATTTGATTTACGGAATTTTCGAAAACTGTTACAAGTTTATGCAGCTTTAAATGCTTGAAGAGCTTTTTAGGGTGGACTGCATAATGCAACGCCATTCGTGTTGTTATATGAAAGTGTGCAAGTTGAATGCGATCAGTGTGGGACAGTGGTTGGCCGAGAAGGTCACGCATTTAACGAGAGTATAGCGTTACGTTCATGTGAAAAATACCCAACGTTCACAGCAGCTAAGGTAAAAAATAATAAAATCAAATCAAATTTATATAGATACAAGCGCGTACTATGCGCTGCTTTGTTGGTGTGTTGGGCACGTACACGTTATTCTGCACAATTAATGCCTCATTTGTATTGACCAATCAGCTGCCCGTACACGTTCACCATGCGTACTAGACCAAACGATCAATACCTTTCTTTCAATAGCTTGAAATACTATATCCTGGAACCTCACTTACTCTTATTTTATGACACGACCCCATACATGATAAAAAATGAAAAGTAGAAGTTATACAATACATCATGCTAGTCAACGCTCTCCCTCTTCTAGGGACGGGCCATACATAATTTCCAATCTTCGCCCTCGTTCATGGAATTGTTCCTAAAGAAGCACGCTATGAAATACAGAACCAAAAATTCCAGAATTCTTTGTTCTTACTAATCTGATTTTTACAGCCGGAAACTGAACCACATATCAGAGCTGTGATATAAATTATTAGGAGTACATACTAGTGACGCTTAGCTGTTGGTATGAGGAACTATCAAGGAGCAAGGTGCAATACACTACTCTCGGTACCGGGGGTTGGAAATTACACTTGTTTCTTTTCTTGTAGTGTCTGTAGTTAATATATGTCGCCAAGCGTTGTTAATTTCTTTCCGCCCTTATGGCCTCAAGTAAACTTACTGATTACAAACTCGTACCCTTATCAATGAAAATAATACACTTATATATGTAATGCTATGTAACCGTTTATCAATGAAAATAATACACTTATATATGTAATGCTATGTAACCGTATACACATTGTCGGATCGCAAGAAGGGCGATATCGTCGAAACTTTCACCGGAAGGGAATTTTCAAACTACTCAGAAATTCGAATCATATTTGCCTAAACATGTTACATTGTAGTACTACTCGTAGCGAAGGTCATCGGCTTTATCTTATACCGCTGAAACACTGCTTATAGTCCTAATGCTTGCTTACCCATGCTCCCCTGCGGTCCTATCTTTGATTTGTAACCTTGGAACTCGACTTGGTGCTTTCAGTTAGGTGTAACGCACGATATTTAATTAGCGGTGCACGCAAAATGTGTTATTATTCTCTTCACGCAAGACGCTGCTTGTAGTGGAACAACTCTTGAACTGCTTTTACAGCTCACTAGCGAACGGCCTTTTTGACATAGTATATATCTACACAATCACGTTCTGGTACTCTTACTGCGGAAGTAGGAATGGCAGATATGAGACTATCACTTTGATCAGGAAGAAGTTAACATGTCGTGGGTGGGAAAGGCCCTCAAGCATCAGAGAATCTTTCACGATTTCTCACATACGAAAAATCGTCAGAAAGTAACTTTCAGCAACAGATCCTTTATAAGTAAAGAAAACAACCATAGAGGTTTTCAGACAAAGTGGACCTAAWWKGTCTACTTTAGTGATTTATTAAGTTACACTACACTTGGGCTTCCTGTCCGGTCTTARTTTTTGTGGTGGCACAGGAAGCCCAAAAAAACTAACTAGTCCGAAGAATACGCATCATACAAAGGCATAATCAAAGAAACCACATAACCTGGTATGCTCTTATAATTCGTTCGAATTTCACACAGAATTTAAGATCGGAAAAACATAAGTAGAAAAATTCGATTCATTGTATATGAACCTTTCATTACCCCTATCAAAGGTATAAATAAACAGACATATTATCTTCTTTCTATTTCTGGAGGTGGTTTAAAGTACACTTCCGCTTTAAGTGATGTATGGTCATGTGATCGTGACCCGTACTAGTGGAACGTGTCATTTGAACGGTTCTGTGGTTTCTTGCCTCGGGCTATCRTCAAAGTTTATAGTCGACGAGATTTCCTTCAGCAAGCAAACAGATTCTAGAAATATATAGAAATGATTCAACTATACTTTCTCATTAGCTTTCTCAAACTCATTGATGAAGGTTGTAGAAACGGTGGTGAAAAATACCTTGGTTATTCCTGATACACTTCCTTTTCGTTGTCTCGTCAAATTCTAAACTGTGATATAGTAAAATCAGCAATAATTTTAAACTATCCCGAAGTTCGGGCCTACAAGTTGCAAGTAACGTACAGAGAAGCCTGCATGTATAGCGACTGAACCGCACCTTGCACGAGAAATTACCCTATTTCATAATAACGTCACATGTTTACAATAGGAATAAATACTCAGATGTAGACTTTATGTAGTTTTGATATATAAAATGTATCAATGGCTACTTATTTCCATTTTCTTTAATATACAGCAGTGGTTCTGTATTCCAATGGTGACCACAATCCTTAGCGGCGTTTAAACAACAAAATCTTTGCTGTGACGTAATTATGCTATGGAGCAATTGTCTGTGAGCTGCAACGGCAAGGGTAGCGACTATGTTGTCAGTTAGAATTTGGCTTCAATCCTTCATTCTTCATTGAAGACCTTTTCGATATGCTACTTAAATTACGCGAGTTAATTAATAAAAAACGATTACTTTCATCATTTCACTGAATGACTTTTAATTTCAAAACTACAAAAACTCTGACTTCTACTTTAAAAAGATGCTMCAACTTCAACAAASGTTTGACTGAGAACRGCGAATGCAGKTCCGAAAGTTACTGTGTGCATTCGATTTTCAATTCTCATGAAAAAACACCGTCAAACTAAAAGTTCATCATTACAAATCTTCATTCAATGGCAACGACAGAATTTAG